TGTTTATCCACAGGGGCATTTCTGGCAGAGGATGGCATATGTCACAGTGGAGGAAGAGCACACGAAGAGGCTTCTAATCTTGCGTATGAAGTTGTTATGGCGTGCAGTTGTGCTATGGATGTGAATGTGGAGGCACAGTAGACACTGGGTTGGTTGCAGGGTCTGATTCCTGTTGTTTGTTGTTGCTTGTGGGAACCTGCTTCATGCTGGTGGCTGGGTGTATGTGAGTACGTGCCTGCCACTCAACACCTTAAAAAGTGCAGTCTCATTGTCTAATATAGGCTGCGGCTTATTAGTAGAGTGGCTTGAGGTATTGTAGGTGACACCCAGTGGATATATTTAGTTTGTAATCAATTTCACCAAGGTCTTTTCACTCTGCCCTTGCTAAATATAGTGTTACTTTCAGTCTGTTTCTCTAACCTTATCAATGTAGTTTTGAATTATATTTTTCTCTTCTAAAGTAGCAGCTCTCCTATCCAATTTTGTCTCCCTATACCTGGAAACTCAAAAAGCAGTTTCTCTATGTTTTTATCCAAGACGTGAATAAAAATATAGAAGCTCCTGCACTCGTCACCCCTCATCCCATAGCACTGTAAAGCTGGTCACTGCCCTCATGGCTCTCGACCATCATGGATGTGCTGGCACCTCTGATGGGAAACCCTCAGAGGCATCCCAAAAGCTCAAGTTGCTCTGTGGGCCCCAACGGTGTGCTAGGTGCCTTGTTGGGTCTTTCAGTTTGACCACGAATTGCACTTCTATGGGTTGAGGGGGAATATACATCTCCTTGACCACGATCTGCGGGGAGCTTGTCCAACCGTCTCCCCCAACTGCTCCAAGGTCCAATTTGGTAATATCTGCCTCCATTTGCAGTATTTCTCTCTCCTCCTTGGTTGGTAACTTGGGTGAACTTTTCTGTAGTTCCTCTGAGGCCATATAGGATTGTATGTGCGAGGCTTCTTGATCCAAAAATGGATTGTGAACAGGATATGCAAGCCTCATATCACAAGAACTCTTGTGCTGCTCACATCTATTTCAAGAAAAATCTGTGGTTTATGACCCCAATCCTTACTAACAAAGCCACCAAGGGTCTTATTTCTTGTGTGCTCTGCACATATTTCAGGGAGTTTGATTAGCAAAATGTTTGCCAGCTTTCCTCGAAGTAATTTGTTTCTACTTCCACAAAATTAACTCAGCTTAGTTGGAATGTAGGCCAATGACTGGGTCTGATATTACTAAGACAAGAAAAAAAAATCCTAACATTTTTCAAGTATTATTTCCTTTGCTGACATACCCTGATTTCAAGGGAACAGTGTAAGCTGTCTGTCTCTAAAATAAAATTTAGCATTAAAATTAATCACTGTGAGCTGCTCTTCTTCCCATGCCAGAAAAGTATAGAACAAATCAAATGCAATTTTATTACATTATCAGGGAAAAATAACTTCATTCCAATAAGAAAGTGCAAGGGGAAACCTGCATCAGCTGATATGACTTATCTCTCTGAACAATGGGGATCATCACTAAAACAGTAGAGCATAATTCTCTGGGGTTACACATTATCGTTTTACTTTAAAAAATATGTAATTCTTTGTGCGAATTATACAGGCTAGTCCAAAGGGAAAACCTTAACATTTTTAGAAATCACTATAAAGGAAGCTGTGGAATATATTTCCTCTTTCCTCAAAACTATGCGTTAACGGTTGAAAACAAGTTTCCCGTGGAACGTGTCTGTTGTAGAGAGGTCAAGGACCACAGAACAGGAAGAAGCACTTCAAGATCTCCGGGCAGGAATCTAGCCTGAAGCTCCCCAGCCTGAGGCTCTTTGGCCTTGGCTTGAGCACCTCCAGGGAAGGGGCACCACTCCTCCACTGGGGCACTGCTGCTAAGCCATGATCAGTTGGCACCAAGGGTTCCAGTGCTGGGGGAGAGATGGCAACCAAAGCCCAGAGCAGTTTGGTAGGGCTGCGTGTTCTTGGGCTTGAATCCTTACTGGGGTGGAGATAAAAGAGATTGACTGGATGACCTAAACAGGGTTTGGATTTTTAGAAAAAAATAAACGAATATCTTGAAGTAAAACGAACCACAAAACAGTCAAGAAAGTTAATGTGTTTTTAAGCAATCAGCAAATGGGTAATGGATCTGAAACAGAGTCAAAATATAAAAACAATGCATTTTGGCAAGTCCTCCAGTTAATTCATTCAGATAATATTACAATCTCATGTTAACTACTTTTCTTGATCAAAACCTAGACAAAAAGGGCAAATTCCAGTAAGGTTTAATAGAGAATGTCAGGAACTACATAAGGATCCCAAAAGTGGTAGGAGCAAATTTAACAGTTTTACAACACTATTGTTACTACTGACCATAAAAGGTTTTTGTTTGATAGGTTTCAATGAAAGAGTTAGAGAAACAGACTACTAAAATCACATACAAATTAGAAAGTGTATCATTGAATACTTATATAAAACAGCTTTTAGATACCTATACCTTTTTTAAAATAAATTTAATTATTTCAAATAATATTAAAATGAACTAACAAGTACTAGCTGCAGAAAGAGAGGAGTCTGTGCAGATTTTCTAGACCTAGAGACATTGGGGGACCAGTGGCACTCCGGAAGGAGGGCAGAGCCATACAGGAGAAGGCCTTGCCCCCCTGCTGTCCATCAGCATCTTCCAAAGGATTCTTAAGTTTCTTGCACAGGTTCTTAAGGCATGGCAGATCTGCTAAGCCACTTGGGGTCTAAAGGGGAATGCCAAGACACCAGTACAGATGTCCTTCAGCGACGGCATGATATGACATGAACTGAGCCTTGCACCTTCCTGATTCGCAGCCTGACTGCTGCTGTACTTTGTACCTGTTGCAACTTCTGGATGCTTTTCAAGGGTGGCCCTGTGTAGACGGGGTTGTGAGTCAGGATAGGCTATAATCAGGAACAGTTGTGGCTGGCACATTAACTGCAATTGTGGAAACAGGCTCCTTGGCCATCAGAAAATACCCTTCCAGAATAATAGAATGAAATATAGATATAGAAGTAGTATAGTTAATAACAAATACAGAAAATGTTTATATTATTAGAAATAATTTCCTCAAAAGGAAAGTAGGAAGTCTTTTGTTTGTTTGTTTATGTGGGGTTTTTTTCTGCTTGTTTGTTTTGTTTTGTTTAAGGTATGTCTTTTGTAAAAGGCTTTTAGATGTCTGTCTGATTTTTATGTTTTGTATTGCTTTATGTAATTGTATATTTTATTTGTGTAATAAAATTTTTCTAAAAAAAAGAAAAGAAAATACCCTTCCAGGGTCTTAAACAATGGACCTGCTCTTTCATGATAAGCTGCACCTCAATTCCCAAGTCCAGCTTCAAGTCTTTTGTTTGTTTGTTTATGTGGGGTTTTTTTCTGCTTGTTTGTTTTGTTTTGTTTAAGGTATGTCTTTTGTAAAAGGCTTTTAGATGTCTGTCTGATTTTTATGTTTTGTATTGCTTTATGTAATTGTATATTTTATTTGTGTAATAAAATTTTTCTAAAAAAAAAGAAAAGAAAATACCCTTCCAGGGTCTTAAACAATGGACCTGCTCTTTCAGGATAAGCTGCACCTCAATTCCCAAGTCCAGCTTCCTACTGACCAACAGAAACTCTGCCTTGTTTTATTCTCCCTCATTTCTACAAGCTCATTGTTGACCCTAGGCAACATTCGAGGATATCCAACTGCCTGCCTGGCCCTGATGGATGGCAAGGAGCAGGAGAGCCAAGCTCCACTCCCCCACACTGACTGAATTCCCCCACTGGGGTTTTAGGGGCATTCTGCATGGTGTGGGGAGCAGATGGAATCCTGGGGATGGGCATCAGTCAACAACACTCCCACAGCCCCATCTTCTGGATAGGACTGAACAGGAAGGATCTAGGCTGCTGCAAAACAGCACATGTGCCCACGGCCCAGTTGCCCCAGGCTGAACAGATGGATTCCCTGGTTAATAGCACTGGAAGTAGCTGAAATGCCTATAGAACTACCCACAGTGGAGAAATGGGTGATGATGGCAGAGCTTGCAGAAATGGCTAAATTGACTTGTTTAAGGAGGGAACAACAATCAAAGTCCCTTTATGGACTTTTTGCTGAAAGTGGATAAAAATGAATTGGTGACTTTGAGATGTATTGATTAAAAAGGTTTGTTTATGGGAAGAAGGGAACTATGATATGTAATTTGTGAGGGCGGAGATGGTAATTACTATGTTTGTAACTGCTGCAAAGATTGGAAGTTGCTTCTTCAGATATTTTTTTCTTTGTCTTTTGTTATCTTTCACTTTTTCTTTTATATTTTCTTCTTTTTTCTACTTTTCCTTTTATGTTGCTATAGTTTTTTAATTTTACATAAAATCTTCTTTCAACCCATCCTTATTGCTGAGACAGGACCTGGGGCTCTCAACAGCTGCCCCCCAACAGTCTCTGACTCTTCTCTTGTCCAACCCGGGTGGGTGTTCCAATAGGTCCCTGAAACCAGATACACGCTGGCCTTTCGAACAGATTGTAAGAGATTTTTTTTTCTTTAGGTGAAAATATTCATGCGCCTTCTTTCTCACGCACAAAAACAGAGGCTATTTCCAGACAGGTCCTTACTGTAGCGTCATCCTGGCTTATTCACGAATATTTTATAGATGTCTGCCCAGTCTCTGACCCTCCCTTGCTTTTTCCATCCGAGGGAGCCAGTCTTGCTGAGAAGAGAAACACTAGGCGCGATCCCAAACCTTTCCAGAAGGCCGACTGTCCTGGGGGGGGATCCCTCAGGAAGGGAGATCCATTTTTATCTCCTTTGCCTTAATCCCTTTCCAAAATGGAGGGACATTTTAAAATTAAAATGCATTTTAACATTTACGGTGAACTGGAATGGCTTTTGACGGGCATTTAGGGGTGGCCCCAATCCAGACATGGCCCGCGCCATTCAAGAGGCTGGTTCTGACCTTGGAGGCCCTTCACGGAGTGGGGCTGGGTCAGCTGAGGGCCCACTTCTTATGGGCGCTGGCTGGCGGGCCTTTTCTGCCGTGGCCTCCCTCTTGGAGCATCTTCCTCCTGGCCCGAAGAAGTGGCTGGGCCCTCGCGCCAGGC